GTGAGCGAGATAATCTATTAATTAATTTACGGTCTAGCGCTACCACTACCAGGCTCAGGTTTAATGTCTCGACAAAAAAGATGACGTTGATGAAAGAGGTAAAAAAATAGATGATCAAACTCTATTACTTTTTTAGGCCTTAACTACAAGCCCTATTGTCCACTCATTTAATATCTCCCGTGAATCACACGAGCTACTTAACAGACAAACTCTGTGGAAATGACTCATTTAATATTTATGTCCCGTGCATCGCACGGGCTACGTACTAGTTATAATTAAGAGAATTAATGGAGATGGTGAATAAATGGACTAGTGGGAAATTTTTGTGGTGTCAAATAACAGGCATAAAAGAAAAATAAATATATATTTTAATGGTTCATTAATAAAGTGCGAAAACAATTTTTTTACGGAAAAAAAATAAAAATAAAAGAGGTGNGTATTCCGTGAATACGGATTCCTTTATAAAAAAAATGTAAAAAACGTATTCAAGGAATACGTTTTTTAATTAAATTATACAGAAAACGTATTCAAGAAATACGTACTTTCTATGCTAATCCACTCTCCCTTTTTTTTTTGTTTTTTGTCCACTTATTATTTTTTTATTAATAAATATATAAATTACCCGTGCGAAAACTGGAACAGGAGAATATGGTATATGCTTTCATGAATGGGCCTAAGCAGTAATCAATAATTCAGCTAAGAAAGGTAGGCAGGCAATTCATGTCATATACAACTAACTGGCAGCTTTAATTTGGGTCCCGTAATTTCACACTCAACTAATAAGATGAATTATACAGTGTTAATCATTGAAAAATATATATTCACCCTAAGCTAGTTTACATCGAACATATTACCCTTTTGGAATGAGTGGTGGGTCTTACTTTTAGCCTTGCCTAATTAGGCTCATATAATTTCTTTAACAAATATACTTTTAGCATAGCCTAATTAGGCTCATATATTTTCTTTGAGAAATATAAATACTTTTACTTATATTTGTAGAAATAATATAAATAAAAATATGATCTTTGATAGTATAAGTATATATTTTTATTAATATAGCAAGATAGGTCTNCATGCAAAAAAAAAAAAAAAAAATCAAATATATCAAATGAATGTCTCTTTTTAATTTGACAAATTAATATATCTTTTTCAAATGAACGCCAAAAATAATTGTGTACTATATATATAGGGGTTATTGAAACTTGAAAGCAAGTGGTCATATTATATCGTTAGTCAGGTCTGTGGACGCCGACTAATTTACTTTATTATTATCCCCACTCAGCTGCCATACCTCTCTACATATCTCATGCTTGTAAATATTCACAATAATTATTCATTGTCTGAGGACAGATTTTACATGCCAGTATAAAATTCATTTACATCACAATTTGCTTCTTCCCTATTGCATTAGACCTTTCGTGGGGATTAAATGACCTGTTTTTTTTAATTAATTTTCCTTAGCATACACCGATAAGCAACATGATTGATCATAGTACAATATATGTAAATTATATGACGTAATCCAACTAATATATATATAAAGTTGAATCAAGACTACCCAGTATGTGTACTACATTGAATTAGTTGCAGCGTATATTACATTGAAATGTGAAAAGAATATGTGATATTCATGATATTGTAATTGTTCAATTTATTTAGAAAAAACAAAAAGCAATCCATGACCTCATCAAGATAATGCACTATATTAGTATTTAATTTAGATTAGAAAATATCCCCAATTCATGCTATTACATTTATAGGATCAGGGGAATAGGGTGCAGTCCCACTAGATGAACCGCATCATAAGAGAGTGGGCCTAGGTGCACATTAATGAAGTTTCATCCCAAAACCAATTGGTGATAGGAGGAGTAGCCCTCTAGGCATATAAGCTAGACCCAATTTCCCTATAGAATCAATGTGGGACAACTCACAAGTGATACTCCAACACATGCGTATATATACATAAGAAAGAATTAACAATTCGGTTGGGAGGCGCCACCGACGTCTTGGGTTAAAGTGAATTCCGACGGGGCTCATAATAAATCCTCGGGAATGTCTTCTGCTGGTGGGTTGATTCGAGATATTCATCGTAGATGGCTTGGTGGTTTCATGATGAATATTGGGTTGTGCTCTATCACTGGAGTAGAGCCATGGGGGTTACTTCATGGTCTTCGTATGGCTTGAGATTAGGATATCGCCAGGTTGCAGTGGAAGTCGACAATGCCAACGTCGTGGGCTTCATTTAAACATATATAATTCTTTTTCAAAAATAGGGCAATATCAGTGTTTTCACATGGCTCCTAGTAGAACAAATAATAGGACTCTAAGACCATTTTCAAATGTGAGTCTAAAAAAATCTCAGTGTTTATGATCAATCTTGTTAGAATATCAATTGTGAGTTGTCACATATCGTTCATATATGGAAAATAGACCCACTTTATAAGTCTAATGTGTTACTCCTCCTTCCACCAATTGGTTTTGGGATGGAACCCCATTTGGGCTTCATATGGGCTTTCCCCGTTCATGGTGCACTTCATGATAGTGGACCCGCACCCGTTTTCCCCCAGTTTCTGTCGTGGTATCAGAGCCGGTTCTATTGGTGACAGTGCGATGACGTACCCTTCACCCAGCCGAGTTGGACCTGGGCTTTTGAAGGACTCACGGTGAGGGGGCGTGTTAGAATATCACTTGTGAGTTGTCCCACATCGTTCGTACATGGAAAGTAGACCCACTTTATAAGTCTAATAGACTACTCCCCCTTCCACCAATTGGTTTTGGGATGGAACTCCATTTGAGCTTCATATGGGCTTTCCCCGTTGTCCTTCCAGAACAGCACTTTTTGCAGAATCTTGTCTGCTTTGAGCTTCATATGGGCTTTCCCCGTTATTGGTGCGCTTCATGATAGTGGGCCCACACCCGTTTTCCCTCAATTTCTGTCAAATCTTTAAGGCACTAAGGAACAATCTACAGTGAATTTAGGCCACCTTTTCTATCTAAGCATCAATACATTGAAAATTTAACTAATAAAAGAAAAGAGAATTCATTAACATTGTTCCTAAAGTTATATATTATGACATGAAGTCCACGTCTTTGGGTTTTCCTTTGAAGGGTAGCTAAGGAGCTGAGTACAACCTTTGTTGTACTTTATAAGACATGTTCTCGTCTTTTTTATATGAAGTAAAACGGAAGCTTCAATTCGTTCTTTGTTTTACTTCAACTGGCGAAATTTTGTGGAAGATACATCAACTATCTTACAGATGAAGGTTATAGATTAATTGCCACACACACACATGTGATGTGCTGCGTTGTCCTCTGCAGTTTTCTACCTTACAAACATACATAATTTCTTATTCAATCCATTTTATATGATGCTTTTATATTTTTTATGACTATTTTAATGGTTCATTAATATTGAACTTAGCATTCTAAATACCATGTTTAAAGTGAAGCATGAACAGATCTTCGTGGCACTCGAAATAGTAATGTTTCATATCTTTGTGGCATTGGATGGGTATAAATGTTAATTTTCAATCTCCTGTTAGGCAGTCATATTTTTTTCATAAAACTACATAATATAGATATTACAGTAAAATGACATACTATTACAATATAATTAAATATGATTGCTTTATAATCTAAGAATGCATTTTTAATGAGAATATATCGTTGTGTAATGATTAAGCAGACTAATGTTTCCCATAGTTTCTAATGTTAATTTTGAGAATCTATTTTTCCCTTTGTGATACAAAAGGTCATGATTTAAATTAGGTGGAAATCTTCAATTGAAGCATTCAATTCGTTCAAAGAACTAAAATATTGAGAATTTTAAATTATAAACACTTGACGAACATGAAAATGAGGCACAAACTACTTGTTCATTGTTATAGTTTTATTAAATGAATTGAGTCGAATTTACACAAATAAACAAGTCGAGTTTGAGCGAGCATTTTGGCTCATCTAATAAACAAGCTCGAGCTCCAGCTCGATCATGAGCTACTCGCTCGGCTCGAATAACACATCTTGCTGCATAATCATTGGCAATGTTCTAAAAATTAGGTTAGATGTCTGGAAAAAATCGGAGATCTAGTCCTGTAACTGACACCATTGATAAATAAATAGTCTAGTGCTTTGATTTTATAAAACATCCTTTAACTGAAAAAAACAAAAAAATACAAAACTTAAATTTAGTTCCTTCCTTGACATGGCCAAAACATCAGTCGAGTCACGGCCCGGCCAGGCCCGGTGAGCCTTCGGGCTCGAAAACAAGGACCCGGCACGGACCTATGCTCATGCTGGGTCAATGGCCCGGTTAACCGGGCCGGGTCAGTCATTAAAAAAAAAAAAAAGCAAGCCATCGGCCTTGATTGGGCCAATGACCCTGAAACAGCCCGTAGAAAATTCGGTCCAATACCAGACGTGTAGTCAACGGGCTTGACCGGGTCGGGTCGGCGAAAATCGCTGTAACACACCATTAAAAGTGGAAAAAACTAAAAGACGAAAGAAAAAATAAATAAAACGGACGCGTGTATGGTGTGCTACCACAGTCCTCACTTGCATGATTGCACAAGTCATAATAACCCAAGCCGGCCCAATTACCAAATTTGTTCCTTTCTCAACGACATTCATTTTGGCAGCATCACATGAAAAACAATTATCCTTTAAAATAAATAGCCCCCTGTGCCATAATCACCAACTCATATATCCTCAACTTTCCCATATTATTTCTCTTCCATTCTCAATATTCATCCTCTTTTTTTCTCTCTCTTTTTCCTTTTTTCTCTTTTTTTCCTTTTTCTTTTTTTCCATAGAAATAATTATAGACTTCGTCTTCCCCTGATATGAATCAGGGAAAACAGGATTAATGGCGAAGCAGAAAAAAACATATATAAATTTTCTTTTGGCTAATATTTAATTCCTCACCAATTCAAATCGATACAGAAATTTTGTCGGTCGGTCGGTGGATGATCGATCGATGCAAGACGACAGGAAGGCATTAGAGGTGGGTTTCACGCACGCGATCTCTGGATCTAATAATCATGCCAGAGTTGGTCAACGCCGGCGACGAAGACCGGAATCGGCGTATCATCTTGAAAAAATACGAGGTGGGCAGGCTGCTGGGTTGCGGTGCCTTTGCCAAGGTGTACCACGGGCGCGACACGGTCAGCGGGCAGAGCGTGGCGGTCAAGTCCATTAGCAAGCACCGCATCAAGGGAGGGGTTGACCTCGCCGTTAAACGGGAGGTGTCTATCATGCGCCGGCTGCGCCACCCCCACATCGTGCGCCTCCACGAGGTCCTCGCCACCCGGACCAAGGTCTACTTGGTCATGGATCTGGCCAAAGGCGGGGAGTTGTTCGCCAAGGTCGCCAGGGGACGGTTCAGCGAGGATCTCAGCCGCAACTACTTCCGCCAGCTCATCTCCGCCGTCGCCCACTGCCACTCGCGCGGCGTCTTCCACCGTGACCTCAAGCCCGAGAATCTGCTGCTTGACGAGAATTGGGAGCTCAAAATCACCGATTTCGGGCTAAGCGCGGTGGTGGGCCAGGCCCGGCCCGACAGCCTCCTCCACACCCTCTGCGGCACCCCCGCCTACGTGGCACCGGAGATCCTCGCGAAGAAGGGCTACGACGGGGCCAAGGTCGACGTCTGGTCCTGCGGGGTCATCCTCTTCGTCCTCAACGCCGGCTACCTCCCCTTCAACGACACCAATCTCATGGCCATGTACCGAAAGATCTACAAGGGGGAATTCCGCTGCCCCAGGTGGACCTCGCCGGATCTGAAGCGGTTGCTGACCCGATTGCTCGATCCGAACCCGGGAACCCGGATCACGGTCCACGACATCATGAACGACCCCTGGTTCAGGAAGGGCGGGTACAGGGACACGAACCAGCCGGCCGTGGACCGAGAATTCGAATTCAAGCTGCAGGAATCGAATCTGAACGCATTCCACCTCATATCCTACTCCGGCGGTGTAGATCTGTCGGGTTTGTTCGGCGATGAGGTGGATTCCGAGATATTCGTGACGGCGGAGCCGGCGGAGAAAGTGGTGGAGAGGATCGAGGAGGTGGCGGCGGAGGAGGAGGGCATGAGGGTGACGAAGAGGGGGACGACAGGCGTGAGGTTGCAGGGACAGAATTGGGATTCGACGGTGAAGGTGGAGATTAACCGGCTGACCGACGACCGGCTGCTGCTCGTGGAGGTTAAAAGGAGTGCATCTGGACGGGATCTGTGGACCCATAAATTCAAGCCAAGGCTCAAGGATTTAGTCCTTGGTCATAGTTAATTAATCAATTTCAATTTTCACCGGTTGCCACACTTAATTTGAAGGAACCCATAAATCCAAATCCAATCCAGAGTTTGTGTGTAAATATGTGTAATATTAAAATTTCCCCGGAAATAAATTTACTTATTAGATAGTAATAAGTTTAAAAGAAATCCAAGAACAAGCGGGTGTCGGTAAAATGTTTTTGCCTGCTAGTTTTACTGTCTTATTAGTCGTTAATCACAAAATAATGCGTGTAGTAACAGCTTAATTAGAAGAGGACAATAATTAGCCAAGTCTGTGTAAATTTAATACTATATTATTATATTATTGGAAGGTGGTGACGCGAATGGGAAACGAATATGAGTGATTGGGGTAAGTTTAGTGAAGGTCATTTATCACTAGGAGATGATATGATATAAGTTGGACTTTGTCAAAAGAATATTATCACGCCAAGTAAATCTGTAAATGGGACCTCTTTATTAAAGTCAAAATTTAAAGTCGCCCTACAGGGACCAAAACGTTAATTTCAAGCTTGTGGCCAAATCGGTTCCCACGTGGTGGTTCGTGGCTCATCACTCTCAAATCGTGAACAACTAGTACGGCACTGACCACGTTGTGCGGTTTGATGTTAAATGTACTGATAAATTATAATTTAAACGAATGACAATTTATTTACAAAAATGTTACTTATTGGACATTTAAAATAATTATATATATAGAGATTAGTGTTAATGACCCTTTTCTTTGTACGGGCATGATCTTGCACACTGATGGTTCGTCCATGGGTAATCCAGGTCCATTCGGCTTTGGAGCTGTCCTGCACAATCATGAGGGGGTGTGGATTGAGGGCATTTCAGGGAACATAGGTATCGCAGACAATACTCTAACCGAGGTGATTGCAATTCTCGAAGGGTTATCTTTAGCAGTGACTCGGCGGTGTACAGCTCTTACCTGTTACTCAGACTCGCAAGAGGCTCTTCGGTTGGTTAACACAGACATCTGTAACAAATCATGTTATGGGGGGACTGATCATGAACATCAGGGACAAGATTAGTTCGATTGAGAATATACGGTTTTTCTACCTCTGGAGAGAGGGAAATTCCGTTGCAGATCTCTTGGCAAGGAGAGGAGCCAAGGAGGAAGCTTTCTTCACTACTTGGGGCTTTTTCCCCCAGACGATTTACTCACACTGTTGGCTAAGGACGTATCTATGTTTCCTTACACGCGCTTATAGCCTATTGTGTAGTTTTTTGTTGTATTTTCTGTTGTGTTTTTTTTCTTTCTTTCAGTTAGCTTGTATTGACATTGCCGTTCTATTCCAAAAAAAAAAAATACTTAAAGTAAGTAAGTGAGACTCATTTATAGCCACAAGATAGATACATAGATGTGTGATCAAGATTTAACTCTTTTTTTTAAATAATAATTTTTTATTTTTATTATTTAATTTTTTATTTTTATTATTTTAACTATTTAAATATTATCTTGACCATTGACCGTTGACCGTTGACTCTGACGTTGACCGTTAACTTCCGGCGAGACTTGATGACTTCTGGTGTTGACCGCTGATTTCCGGCGTTGACCTGTTAACCTAGTATGCATTATGTATGAAGTAAATATACATTTAGCACTATTTACTTAATATGAACTAAATATGCATGAGGTATGAATTGCATGTACAATCCTTATGAATTAAATATGCACCAAGAATATCAATTAAGTATGTAATGTTTATGAACTAAATATGCACCTGTTATGAACTAAATATGCATCATGAATGAACTAGATATGCAGCGAAAAATATGCAATAAAATGTGCATTTTATATAATTAATTTAAATGTAACATTTATTAATTTTTATTGTATAATTAATTTAAATTTCAATTGATTAATATAAGTCATTGATCTACCCAAATAAATAACTGCGATTAGATCTCACATGAACTAAATATGCACTTTTGATGAACTAAATATGCATTTCGTATGAACTAAACATGTATCATGAATGAACTAAATATGCATCATGTATATATTTAATTTAAATATAACAAATATGAAATAAACATGAATTTAATACGCATTATCTATAACTAAATATGCACTTGTTATGAACTAAATATGAATCATGTATATATTGAATTTAAGTATATTAAATATGCATTATGGATAAATTAAATATGCACCTGTTATGAGCTAAATATGCATCATATATATATATATATTTAATTTAAATATAACAAATATGCATCATGGATGAACTAAATATGCATCATAAATGAACTAAATATGCATCATGTATATATTTAATTAAAATATAGTAATACACATCATGGATTAACTAAATATGCATTTCGTACGAACTAAATATACATCATTATATATTCTAACTTAAATATAAAAATATGCATTTCGTATTCACTAAATATACAATATTAATGAACTAAATATGTATCATGAATGAACTAAATATGCATCATTATATATTTAAGTTAATATAACAAATATGCATTTCGTTATGCATCATTGATGAACTAAATATGCATCATGAATTAACTATATATGCATTATGAATTAGCTAAATATGTATCATAAATTAAATAAATATGTGTCATTATATATACATAATTTAAATACAACAAATATGCACTATGGATGAACTAAATATGCATTTCGTATGAATTAAATATGCATCACTAATTATCTAAATATGCATCAGTATGTATTTATTTAATTTAAATATAACAAATATACACTATGAATGAACTAAATATGTATCACGAATGAACTAAATATGCACAATGAATATATTAAATATGCATTATGTATTACAGTAAGTATATAATAAAACAAAAAAAAAAATATATGTTTCAATTTTCTTTATTATTCCTGATCTGGAAGTTACCTTTTCCTTTCCTTGGGCAGTACCTCCCAACAAGATTGATCTCTTTGGATCTTGGTCCATGATGGCCTTTTTATTGATTTTGACGATTGGATCTCACTATGAATGGAAAAGGGGTGCTTCAGATGGGGAGTAATCACTAGTGATAGATATCAAATTTATGTTATCAACTAAATATGCATTTTGTATTACTTAAGTATCTATATCTATATCTATAAAATGTACCAATCCACTTTACTAAAATTGGCTAACTTTTTCCCGCCTATATTTTTCAAGTAGATCTGGAAATACTTTTTCTCCATGAAATATAGAACTTAGGGACAATATTTTTTAATTAAGTCAAAATCATACCTTTTCAAATAACTAATTTTATTATGATAAATACTGTTATTTTATTTCAAGATAGTTCCCAAATTTATTATTACGCTAGGAAATCCTTCATAAAATGGACTTTTATTATGTAGATGTATTATTTCCAAAATATCGTGGAATACATCTATATATATATATATATAATAAGAATAATTATTTATTAAAAATAGTAGTAAAAAATTTTGGAATCATTTGATGCATACATTTTTTGAAAACTTTTTAAATATACGCATTAATTGCTTCCATATACACATTTTCAAATAAGATCAAATCAGATATGGTAAAAAATATTGTTTTCTTAAATAATTTTATTAATATCTGCACTAATTTTATTGATATCCATTATAATAAATTGCAAGATTGATTTTTAAGTGATTCACATTGATAAGAGTATCTCCAATGCATAAATGTTGTTATTATATAAATTTTGACAAATGTAAATTAATTAGATGAATTGTGAACCACATAAGATAATTGTTAGGTTCACAACTTTAATTCTAAAAAATTTTCTCCAATGCACAAAATAATCAAACACAATATTGTCCACTTGGCCAAAATAAGAAAATTATAAATATGAAAGAAAATGAATTAAATGATTAGATATTTTGAAAATGGTAATAATATTTCTCTCTCCTCTCTCCTCTCTCTATTGTAGACATTAATTATGTGCATCTCATCACTACATTTGTGATAACATTGTGCATTGGAGGATTAAAAGTGAATAAATTGCTAAATATGAGAAAATAGAGTGCAATGTACTACACCTACATTTAGGCATTGGAGATGCTCTAATATTTTGGCCAAGATAAATATTACAACATATTTGAAGTTCTAACCATAATATTAGTTTTTTTCTCACAAATATTCACTTTTTATCCAAAAAATATTTATAGAAAATCGTAACAGGTTAGGTAGAATTTTTTCTTCCAATTAATTTACAAAATCAAGTTGGTGAATTAATCTTTATCTATATAATTTTTTCTTAAGCTTTATTTTGTTATATATAAAAAATGAATTACTCTTCGAATTAATATAATTTATCATTTAGGAGATAATGACCAGATACATTAAATAGTTTTATTAATGGTCAAAATTAAAATTGAGATATAGTAACTGCTCTTTAGAATTTATTTGTACACTATTGGCAGCCATGATTATTTTTTTATTATTATTTTTTATTTCTATTTCTTTCTATAATTAAATTATTATAAAATATATTTTCATTGCAGATTATGCTAAATAAACTATAAATCTTATAATGCAAAGTAGAAAAATCTTGATTATAGAAAAAGATTGAGTTTTTAGCATTTGCTAAATTAAAGTTGTTTAATTAGCATACAAAATTAAATTCTAAAAAAACATGTGTGTATATTTTGTAAAATATTTATACACTATTTAATTTTAAATTTATTTACATATTTTAAATTGATTATATAAATAAATAATACTAACGTACATTAAATATTTTTCATTACATAAAATAAAAAGAAAAAGAAGACGTATAACTTCTATTACTTTTATAAATAATAATGACATTATATGACAACAAAGTTTATGATAAAATAATAATTATGTATTATATGGTGAACAAATAAGTAAGACTGTTATTTTTTCTTATATCAAGAATTAAATATATATACTAAAATCAAATTTATATTAGTATAAATGTGTTAGTGAGATAATATATTAATTTTTTTATAAGCTAGCCCTAACATGCTCATATTTAATGTTCTAGCTAAAAAAACTGATTAAAAGAGGTGGAAAATAGATTATAACTCTATTGTTTATTTAGACTTAACGTTGATTAAAATAAGTGAAAAATAGATGATAATCTTATTGCCTTTTAGACTTAAACGAAGAGAGCATGTAAAAATAACTAATTTAATATCTCTGTCATGTGCATCGCACGGGATACGTACTAGTATAGTATAAACCAACTCTACAAAAAGATAGGATTTACTCCACTATAAATAATATATTGTTGATAAACCTTCACGTACATTAATTGATTATCATTTCCACATTAATAAAACTAGTACGTACGCGTGCGATGCATGGGACAAAGATATTAAATGAGTTATTTTCAGCCTTGTCCGTGTAAGTCTAAAATATAATAGGGTTATTATCTATTTTCTACCTCTTTTAATCAACATTAAGTCTAAAAAACTATAAGGTTATTATAAGTTTTTTTCCATATCTTTTAATCAGCGTTGTTTTTTGCGCCAGAACATTAAATATGAGCATGTTAGGGCTAGCTTGTAAAATAATTAATATATTATCTCACTAAAATATTTATACTAATAAAAATTTAATTTTAGTATATAAATTTATCACTTGATATAAGATAAAGTAACAATTTTACTTATTGTTGTTCACCATATAATATTTAATTATTATTTTATTATATAATAGAAATAAATACTTTTAAATAGTGTAATAGAATTGTTATAAAATTATATGAATTTTTTTTTTTACAATATGGATTTAATATCTTTTTATGATTTGATAATATATTCTTATGGTATAATAATATGATATACTGATTTACATTATACTATGGATTTATTCCTTATTGTTAAGATATTGAATTAAGTAATATATGATTCACTAATTTGTATTCTATCTCTTTTAATATTGAAAATAATTATGTGATTGAGTAGAGATAACAATTATCTATAAATTCTTTCATTAAGAAATAATTTTTAAATTGGTCCAAGTGTTGAATGCATCCCGATTTTCTTGTAATGAGAAGAGATTTTGAATTTCAAATTTTCACTTCAAAACCACACGCTAAATTTGGATGCGGATTAAAAATAAAAGAGAAGAGATTTTGAATTTCATATTCACTTTAATATCTGTCGAAATTTTCAAAAATGAATTCAACAAAACCTATAATTTTAGGGGATTTTAATGTTACCCTATTTTATGATTTAAAATATCTAAAACTTTCTAAATAGAGTATGCAATTAATTATGAATTGACTTTTCTTCCTACTAATTCTAGTAAATGGGTTGACTTTTTATATAAGTATAGATA